GCTACTGAGACTTCATAATTCTAATGATTTTATTTAATAAACACTATTTTGGTAATGAGTACTATGTTATAATGCATTACTTCATGCAATTCTATAAAGACAAACAAGAACTCTAAGAAGCAACTATTACCACTTATCCCATTCTACAGAAGAAATTGAGTTTTAAGGAATTTAAATAAATTACCCTTAGTAACAGAGCTTAACAAGCTGGAAAATTGAAGGCGTCTATCGATCTGCTTCATGAGAACTATCTCAGTTGATATGCAGTTGCTACTTGGTTACATTTCTTCACATAATCCACTTTCACTGGCTTAGACTTAAAATATTGCCTTTTTAGTGGATTGACCATCATTCCTTATTTTGAATGTTTCTTTCCTTTGTACTTTTCTACTGCTTGCATTTGAGGGTGGTTTAGAACAAGAGAACAATAAAAAGTCTCTGCTAAAACTAATCCTTATTAGCACGAAGCTTTAGTATCTCTCAGTGTGGTCTTTCCTCTTTTGTGAAAGATCTGGTACCTCAAAGTGTTGGGGAGGGTTATAGAATCTTTTATGTAATTAATAGTATGCCTGTGAGGAATAAATATAGAGTTTGGAATATAAATTCACACAATATGCTGGAGAAGTGATAACTTGATGTGTTCCAATGCATAAATTCTCCAAAAGGACTGAAAGATAAAATAATGACAAGAAGGAGAAAGAGTTTCTTTTCAGAGTTTATAGTATTGCTTCTCCTTCTCTGCAAATACAATTACATGAATAAATAAATAAAAACAAAAACTCAGTGAAAATATGGCACATTATTTTATTTTGTCAATCATGTATTCAATATTTTCTGAGCTCCAATGTATGAGGAACTTTAGGCTGAATGCTGTGGGATATCTGAGGCAGTGGTGTTCTGTGCAATGAATTTAAGAGATTATAAATGGGAATTGTAGCACAGACAGTGGTGATATGTGTAACAAGAGGGATGTAATATTTACTGCTCCCCACTAGAGAAGCATTACTGTAGATAGAGCAGATAGTTGACCATTATAATCAACCACAATTTGAAGCATCCTTCCGTTGTACATGTAGCCTCTTAAAGTCCGAAGGTAAAGATAATAAAACAAGTAAAACAGAATGAAATTACATATAACCATGATTTGTATAGGTATTTGGAATGATTTTTTTTCTCCATCCGTCTTCTTCTATTCTACTTTCTAAAATGATGCATTTCTCTTCTAAGTGATGTTAAAATGAATAACACCTAATAATAACTTAAGAAGAGTTGGAATACTTTATTCATAATGTAGCTAAACATGCTGGATTTACTAGTTTATTCATGTAACTGATTTGTGTGGCCTGTAACTTTGAGGCGATTCACACAATAACAGTCAAAATAAAATAATTGTCCTCATAAATACTTAAAATGATGCCAGTATTTTGGTAAAAAATTAGATTACTATGCACTGATAATACAATTCTTACTTACCATCCTATAGTATTTTGGATACTCTTGAAATACAGGAAAAAATGTGATTTCTAGAAATGGAAGGAAAAACGTTGCCTGTATTTTTTTAGAATTATTGAAAATTATCATGATTAGTGTAAATTAGTTGGCTGTGTCTACATAGAATACCTACTGCTGCACATATTTTGTTCCAAATATTGTTTGCAGTGATAAACATATTTAAACAAAATTTATGTGGGTGAGCTTTTCTAAATTCAAAAAATCTAATTTTGTATTAATATTATAAAGCATCTCTCCATTGATACTTTTGTATTTTATCTCTCAATTTACATCAACAGGTTATCAAGTAGGATACTCTAAAGCAAAGAAAAATGGTAGTTTATCAATGTGAACATATTAACACTTCAAAGGTGTTCTACATGTTCTATCAAACATTATTCTTTCAATTATTTTTTCCCATTTAGAAATACATGCCAGTTGTCATTTTGTCTCAGATAAAATCTCTTCTTTCAAACAGTGTTCTGTTGTTTGTCATAATTACCCTCAGGGATTCTAATCAAAGGGGGACATCATGAGAAATAAAGCATGCATTAGAACCACACATGTTATTCAGTGTTCAGACTCCTGAATAAGGAACACCAAGCAGCGATATAATTAAGCACAGTAACAGCTGCGTTCATGACATAGGAAGAAAGATGAAAAAATAATCCTCATTATTCATTTAACTTTATTTTTCTTAGACCAAATATAAATGTAATTAGAATTCTGTGATGTATCTTAATTTTAGAAATACCTTGAAATTTGATGTCAGCATAGCACCTAAAAAGATAGAGTTATAGAAATCAGGTGGCTCTGTGGGTCAGTTATGCGTCCATCTTTGACTCAAGTTGTGATCTTATGGTTTGGGGGTTCAAGCCTCGCATCTGGCTCTCTGCTGTCAGTGAAGATCCTGCTTAAGATCCTCTGTCTCTGTCTCTCTCTCTGCCCCTACTGCCCTCTCTGTCTCAAAAATAAATAAGCATTAAAAAATTTTTTAAAAGAGTCATACAAATCAATTACACACCTGAATATATGATAAACTATATAGTTTTGAACATCCATCCATTCATTTATTCATTCATTTTTTCATTTCCTCAATTTTTCAATATTTCCCTGATCTTTTATTGAACAAAAATATACTAGGTATTGTGCTAAATAGGTACAAAAGAGGAACAAGACATGGCCTCTGAAATTAAATAAACCCATTACGGCCAAAAATGCTACAGAGAGAGGCTAAAAAAATGGACATGACTTTCAATATTTGTTTTGTTAATTAATGTTTTATAGTTTGGCCCTGAATTAATTAAATACTTGTATGTTAACATCTTGATTTACTATCTTGTAACATCTTGTATTTGGGGTGCCAGATGAAAATGTATATTTTAGTATTGGCAATAAATATTTTAGTAGAAAATCTGCTTTTGGCCAGCACTACATGAGTAAGTAAGATAATTTCTTTGACTTTCAGTTTACTCTTCTATAAAAAAAAAAAAAAAAGAGTAAAGGCGAGAAAAGTCAACCATGTAGTTTTAAATAATACTCTCACTTTCCCTGAAATAAAACATACAGAAACTTTCCAACTTCTTTTTCCAGAGTATGAAAATAATAGAGAAAGTTGCAGGTGTAAATATTCTCGAATTTACCATGAATGATTTGATGTGTAGTTTTTTGTACCCCTTGAACAATGGCAGAAACCTGACTGGTGTGCTTTAAAGAATTACAGTTTGATATGGATTGGAGGCAGGGTGGGTAAAGAAACCAGAGGGGTTGATCAGCTTTGATAAGGGGTTCATATGAAAGAGTAGGAGATGATTAATTAAAGTGGACGTGAGGCTTGGAAATGAATGTGATTAGCTTTTAGAACACAGCTGAAGAATTTTAGAAGAGGTCTAGAAGAACTATAAGAATGTTAGTGAAGTCAGTGGGAGAGACCAAGAGATGGCAATGGTTTAATTAATAAAACAAATTCAGATACATTATTCAGTTCAAATTCAATAACTTTTACAAAATACACAAGTCATACTTACTCATCTAAGAAAACTCTGAAATAAAAAGCATGAAAACAAGAATAAAAGAAACAGTTGTAATCCTATCCCTGAAATATGACCTCCATTATTTTTCTCATATTTCCTATTCCATAGATATTTGTATTCAGTAGAAACACATGAGCACTTTCCCCCTATGTTTTATAAAAAAAAATGGCATCAGTCTTTAGCTACAGTTTGAATTCAGATTGTTTCACTTATTTTTCTCCAACCATTGTGTGTGTGTGTGTGTGTGTGTGTGTGTGTGTGTGTGCGTGTGTATGTGTGCGTGCGTGGCTTAACTTTGCTGTAACTGTCCCTTAAATTCTTTATTGGAAGACAGCAATACATAGCTTTGTGATTTCTGTCAGTGTGTATAATGGAAGTTCTGATATAAATTCTTCCATAAAAAAAAACAACTCTACATTTTAGTATTCAAATATTAACTCAGTCTGTTAACAATATGATTTGTTTGTTAGTTTGCACTCCAAACTGACCTAAACTAATTTGATTTTCAGATTTATGAGACTATTTGAATAACCTTTGGTAGCTCCCCATGAGTTGGAGCTGAATGTTTTCTCTTCAAAAAAACTTACTACCACAAGGTATGTTATAATAAAAAGCCTCAAATCAAATTTTGTCAGATTTTTAAGCAAGCATGTGTGCATACATGAAGACCTAGACATATCCATACAACCTTTACTGCAAACCTGGTGAAACCTCTATTCTCTGCCTTTTAGACAATCAGCTAAGTGCTTTGCCTAGAAGGTCCGTTTCAGGATTTAGTTATCTTTTGGAGAGTATCAGAGGACAGAATTATCTATTATTTGAACAAAGGAGGGGTGGGGTCATAAGCCTTGGACTCCATTCTGAAGTCCACTGTTAGGTACACTAGATTCTTTTCACTTTTCTTATCAGAATGGAAATTTCTACTAGTATTTCTCTATTATCTGAATAATATTATTACTGCTTATTTTGCAAATGAAAAATCATTTCTAATTATCATTGTGTTAATTTACAAGCTCTTTAATGTTGACTGTTTATAAAGGGAGTTCCAGTATTTACATCTTGAGTAGAATTTGTAACTAGGTCCTTTAAAATATCAGATCAGACCAGTATGGCAATGATTTGTATCTGTATCCATTTATCATTATTTATGTCTTTATATCTATATGAATACTGGGCATATACATATGCCCTTTATAGTGAAATATTTCACATGGAGTTATAGATAAAATAAGACTTATGGTTTATTTTTGGTCCTTTAGGACCTTCACTTAAAAAAGTCATTGTTGTCATTCACGTAGTCATACTCTTCCTATGATTTCCTAAGAAGATTTTAATTTGTACTATGGGAAATTCCACTCCATATGATTTTCATAAAGAATTAGCATCTTGGGGCACCTAGGTGGCTTATTTGTTTAAGCATCCGATTTCGGCTCAGGTAAAGATCTCACCATTCGTGAGCCCAAGCCCCACATTGAGCTCTGTGCTAACAGCTCAGATCCTGGAGCCTGTTTCAGATTCTGTGTGTCTCTCTCTGCCCCTCACAGACTTGCTCTCTCTCTCTCTCTCTCAAAACTAAATAAACATTGAAAAAAAAGAATTAACATCTTATAGCCAACCCGTCATGAACATTGTACAGCAAACCAAGATTCTTATTTAGAAGAACTCTTCTCTAGCTTCTGGACCTGCTCTTGGTGAACACCCCTCAGCTGTTAGCTATTTCAAGAATTGGCTCAGTGAGGAGAGCCACCTTAGTCAAAGGCACACTGCCTTCCTGGAGGTATCCACAACTAATAAACATTAAAAGTTAAAGTCTGTCCCTCTTGCTTCTACTCAGGATAACTCTGAAGATCCATTCTAACCATAGAGCTCCTAGGGGTTGGCTGACTGTCATTGGACCTTATTGTTCAGTTTCTCCACCTGAAAAAATTCTGCCTCTTCTCTTTCCTACAGGTGTTGATCCCATGGGCAATCCATACCTTATCTTTTCTTTTTTCTTTCTTTCTTTCCTTCTTTCTTTCTTTCTTTCTTTCTTTCTTTCTTTCTTTCTTTCTTTCTTCTTTCTTTTTCTTTCTTTCTTCTTTTTTTTAAATTTCTTTTACTGTTTACTTACTTGTGTGTGTGTGTGTGTGTGTGTGTGTGAGAGAGAGAGAGAGAAAGAGAGAGTATGAGTGGGGGAGGGGTAGACACACACACACACACACACACACACACACAGAATCCAAAGCAGGCTCCAGGCTCTGAGCTGTCAATACAGAGCCTGACATGGGGCTCGAACTCACAAACTGTGAGATCATGACTTGAGCCCAAGTCAGAGCTCAACTGACCAAGCCACTCAGGCGCCCCCTACTTAATCTTTTCAAGTAACCCAACATGTGATCTACTCCTTTGCCATCATTACATGTTCATAAACTAATGCATGAGGTTAAAACACTCACATCACTTACAGTATATTGGTATCTGGCTTCTCTGTAGTGCTCTATATCCTTCCCCTGTACGTTACATATTTTTTCCTGAGATCAACACAGAACTTTTAGATGCTTATTTATTTATTTTGATGGGGTGGGAGGTACAGAGAAAGAATCCCAATAGGCTCCACACTGCCAGCACAGAGCCCAATGTGGGACTTAAACTCACCAACTGCAAGATCATGACCTGAGCCTAAAAAAGAGTCAGATGCTTAACCGACTGAACCACCCAGGTACCCTAACACAGAGTTGTTTTTTTTTTTAAAGGTTTTTTCTTTTAATGTTTTTTATTTATATTTGAGACACAGAGAGACAGAGCATGAGCAGGGGAGCGGCAGAGAGAGAGGGAGACACAGAATCTGAAGCAGGCTCGAAGCTCCGAGCTGTCAGCCGACGCAGGGCTTGAACTCATGGAGTGTGAGATCATGACCTGAGCTGAAGTCGGACGCTTAACCGACTGAGCCACCCAGGCGCCCCCTAACACAGAGTTTTTTAAAAGCTGGGGTAAAATGATTTTTACAGCCCCTGGTGGCTTAATATAAGCTTATTTATTGCTTATACCCAGACATGAATTTTTAATTGCATGCTAATATTAGTATTATTATTTCTATTTTGGACATATGCAGAGAGGTTAAAAATTTCTTACAGGTCATCCAGTAAGTTAATATCCGGGCTGGAATAAACAGTATGAAATGCTGTGGAATCAAGGTGGAATTGGAGTAAACTTAGGAATATTTTTCACACTAGCAATATCACATAAATGCCCAAATTTTTGTTAAATTATTACAAATTAAATACAAATTCCCCAAATGTTTAAAGCACACCTTTCTTGGAAATATCACATAAACCTACAGATCTTGAAGGGTATAAAATTTTCCACTTAAACATTAAAATTTCATCTGTGTTATCATTCTCTTTGCATTTGCCATCCTTAACAGGATTATTAATTTTATTTCATTTTACTTTATTTTTTAAGGACTTTGATATTTTAACTAAACAAGCAGAAAGTCCTTTTAGCTGAGGATACAACTTTATGTTACTTAGTTAGACAGTGTTATCTGCACAAATACTACTTTTGTTCAGTTTTTTGCTCTTGCAACAAACCTATTTTGCTAGATTTTATGTCTGTCTGGAAGAGAATCTTAGTTGGTATGTCTAATCTACTGTAGAGAACAATGAATTTTTATAATGCAATATTAATATTAATAATGTATCAAAAACAAGAGATGTACCGGGAAAGAATAAGTAAAGCAGAATCTGCTCAAGCAGCATAGACCATAGAACAAATTGAAAGTTCATCTGGGGTCCATCAAGGAGAATAGCACCAGTCCGAGAGCATGTTCAGGAAGAAAAACCAAAATGGGTACCCTGCCAGAGCAACCACCAATGTGCCACTAGGACCCTAGGTTTTGCTTTCTTTTCTCCTGTTTTAGAAAATTAAGGTTTGGGGCGCCTGGGTGGCACGGTCAGTTAAACGTCCGACTTCGGCCAGGTCACGATCTCGCGGTCCGTGAGTTCGAGCCCCGCGTCGGGCTCTGGGCTGATGGCTCAGAGCCTGGAGCCTGTTTCCGATTCTGTGTCTCCCTCTCTCTCTGCCCCTCGCCCGTTCATGCTCTGTCTCTCTCTGTCCCAAAAATAAACGTTGAAAAAAAAATTAAAAAAAAAAAAGAAAATTAAGGTATACGATATTTCTGAAAAACTTTGAAATAAAACAACTTAATTGAAATCATAGTAGAATTCAGCATAAAATACTGCAGAATATGAAATACACACACGCGCCCGCGCGCGCACACATGCATACACACACCACAGGACTGCAAGCTTTGAAGCTTTGAGTACACAGTATAAATTATAAACCAAAGAAAAACATTTTAGTTTGGTGTAGAATACCTTAATAATTAAGAAATAATAAAATCAATTCAATAGAAGTATTTGTGTGCATAGGCACACACACACATACACCACACAACCACAATATACAATATATAATATACATGAATATATGTATGTGTATGTGTGTGTGTACATTTGTATGTGTTTAAGATACTAAAAGTTTTCAAAAAGCATGAATTTTTTCACATAATTTTGGAATTAACTAATAGATACGAAGCATTGGTAGAGATTATTATCTTTATTAGTGATACATATTAGTTTGAAATATATGGCTCAACAGACACTAAATAAATTTTCTAACCCATTAAAAAACTGGTGGACAGCAGACCAGGCCGTCTATTGCATACAGGTTGATTTTCTGAAAGAAAATGAGAACGGAGCTGATTGATCTGAGCATGCTTACTCTCACAGAGTTTGAGTCTAAGGAAGTTTCTTTAAATGGAACATAAGGAGTCAAGTAGAATTGTTTGTGTTTGTGTGTAGGAATCTGCACCTATTTTTTAGACATAAAACTCCTCCTAATGTTTTCAGCATTCTCCTTTCTGTTTCAAAATTTCTTATTAATGTGGTTTGGTATAGCCTAATATGAAGGCTTTGTCAGAAACCATATGCTTGTATATATATTATTTTATGAACCATCTAATATCTTGTGGTCTCTTTTTAGTGTTAATGATGTGAATTCACAGTATTCTTCAATGATGTTACAAACCACTCTTCTCACTTATAAGCAGATTAAAAGTTAAAAGAATTTCAGTGAGCCACATAACAGTCTTTGTTCATTACCACAGATTTTAAAATGCAAAATAATTTTTGAACAAAAGAAATTGAAAAGATAAAACCTGATTAATTTACACAGCAGGTTCCAGCAAACTGTGACTATTTCAACATCAATATATTTATTTATTCCTCAACAATTATTGATTCTCTGCTCTAGGCCAGATACTTTAGTAATTACTAAGACATAAGAATAAAGTATATAGTGAGATATGTTATAGAAATAAAGGATTATAATATAACCTGGTAAATATTGAGAAGAATGCTTATTTTCCTCCTATGTTATAAAAAAAACCACCTGGGTGGCTCAGTCAGTTGACCATTCGACTCTTGATTTCAAGTCAGGTCATGATCCCAAGGTCATGGGATTGAGCCCTAGGTCAGGCTCCATGCTGAGTGTGAAACCTCCTTAAGCTTCTCTCTCTTCCTTTGCCCCTATCTCCCACTTACACTTTCTCTCTCTCTAAAGATAACAAGAAATAAGAAAAATAAAAGGAATGTAATCTACTTCATTCTGAACAAGGAGAATTTTGAAAAGAACATAATCATAGTCTTTTCAGCCCTCACTCTTCCACAAAGTAAGAGCAATGTAATCTGAATGGTTAGAATCTAGGGTGTTAACTGGGACGCGTGTTTATCAGCAGATAGGATCACTGACTTGTAAGGTCATGGGTTCTATTACATTAACTCTCCTGCCAGAAACTGGATGCTAATCAAATGTTCAATACTCCAAGGCACTGAATAGTGGCTAACTGGATTGAATCTACCATGCAGATCAACTTTGCCCCACTTCTCATGGTCTACATTTTATGCGTAGAGAAAGAGGCTTTAACACTCTGTGGTCTTTGACCTGTTTTATTAAGAAGCACTGTAGGTTAGGGGATATTGGAAATTTGCCTGTGCAATAACAGAGCCAGTAGTTTGGATTATCGGATTTCATCTTTTTTTTCCTCTTTATATTTTATTAGTGGGAAGAAAGCATGATTCACAAGGAAAAAAAATGTGTGGTAAAGGATGCTAACTAGACTTATTGTGATGATCATTTTGTGATATGTAAAAATGTTGAATTATGTTGTACATCTGAAACTAATAAAACTACTAAGATGTTATAGGTCAGTTATATCTCAAAAGAAAAAGAAAGGAGCAGGAGTGATTTGGATCTCAAATTATAATATACTATGAGACGAACTTGAGAGGGTAAGGGTAATATTTCAACGTGTGTGTCTGTTACTTTAAATAAGGAGATTATTTTTAATGAAGAATCTCAGATTTGAGAGCCAGAGGTATCTGGAAATGGTTGCAGACCTTGAATGGTAGGCAAAGTATTTTTAATTGTAATAATAGGAAT